GTTTTTGGCTACCTAGTGAGCTTCCTACCTGGACAGCATGTATCAGGCACCATAGCCCTTCAGCTCACTAGATTTTGACACACGGCATTATCTCTTCAAGGTTGTCAGGCTCGTTACATTGAGTTATTTGGTTTTGGTCTGTGCACTTGCTAGCAAACCTGACCGTGATCACTTGTGCATATTTACTAGTTAAACTGCTACACACTGCTTTCACATGAAGTGACAGCAGTGTCTTGCATGCTATATTTCATCTATTGCGATTGAACATAAAAAAATTTATTATTTTATTATTATTAGGCGTGCTAATTTTATGAGCTCATGTTGAGAAGTTGAATATTTGTGCTGTTAAGCTTCATTTGGCTTGGGCGATTAAAATGACGACCAGTAATACGTACATTTACTAATGAACCATCTTAAATTTTAAACATCTTGATATTAAAAAGATAATAAAAGCAATCTATGTTATTTTCACCAACCCTTCATGCATTTCAATATGATACATGCCACACTTGTGAAAAAGAAGTGTGCTTGATTGTATTGTGTGTACCCTTGTAGTGTACTTAAAATTTTAAATGTATACTTTTAAATAAACTGTACTTGCAGATATAATTTTACTGAAGATAAGCAACTTAAATGGGGGGAAAAAATAGTACACTTTCATGACTGTTTCTTAACACACTTAAGTACACTTTTAAAAAGGCCGGGCTCTTTATAATAATGTCAAATTGAAATCTTTAAAGTAAATCATTTTAAATAATTGTTTTAATAATAGTTTGTCGTGTTTTAAAGAAGTACACTTATTTTGATGTGTTGACACATGTAAAATACTGGATTGGAGTTTTAAATGTAGTGTTTTTTAATATTTCATTTAAAGTTAATACATTTTAAGTGTACAAAATCAAAAATATGTAATTACAAATATATTTAAGAAGTAAAAGTACATTTTTAGAAATAATATAAAATGCACTTAAGTCCTACATAAGTGGATTAAAAAAAATCACTCTTAAGTTAAAACTAATTACATTTGATATAAATTTGAACTATAATACATGTTCATTTAATTGCAAATAACATGCGGTTAAGTGTCCAAAAACATTACATCAGGTTTCCACTTAAGTATATTCTTTCCTAAATTAGAACTCATTTTGAAAGTATGCTAAAGTGTGCTTCTTTTTCACTAGGGCAGTAATCATTCAAACTCTTTCAATCGCTCGCAGCTCAATGTCGGTGGCAGTGAAGAAGAGGGATGCGTGGGTCCCCCCGGACTGGGAGGATGACGAGCGAATGGCTTTCTTGTTCTCTGCCTTTAAGCTCACAATTCTGACTTTTTTTCTCAGAATTGCGAGTTTCTTAATTCTGACTTTATAACTTGCAATTCTGAGAAAAAAATTCATGATTGCGAGATATGAACTCGCAAATGTGAGAAAGAAAGAAAGTCAGAATTGCGAGATATAAACTCGCAATTGCAAGAAAAAACTCAGAATTTCGCAATTCTGACTTTATAACTCGCAATTGCGTGTTATAAAGTCAGAATTGCAAGATATGAGAATGATGCTGAAAATTCAGCTTTGACTCACAGGAATAAATTACTTATTACTTAAAAATTTTATATTTTTTAAAGATATTACAATAAAAAAACTGTTATTTTAAATTGTAATATTTCACAATATTACTGTTATTTGTGTATTTACTGTAAATAATTTACATAAGAGAGCATAAGAGACTTCTTTCAAAACATCAAAAAACTTACCGACCCCAAACGTTTGAACCACAGTGTAGCTGTTCAAGAGAATCTTTTCACCCCATTTATTTAAAGAGTTAGTTCACCCAAAAATGAAAATTAGCCCATAAATTACTCAACCTCAAGGCATCCTAGGTGTATATGACTTTCTTCTTTCAGACGAATCCAGTCGGAGTTATATTAAAAATTGTCCTTGATCTTCCAAGCTGTTTAATGGCAGTCAGCAGGTGTTGCAGTGCTTCAGTCCAAAATAAGTGAAATAAAGCGCATCCATCCAT